TATGAATCTTCCCAGGTTTCTCTGAAACCTTCTCTCTCATAAGTTTTATAATCAATCAACAAACATTTATTAAGCACCTACTGTGTGCAAAAGTGTGCTAAATACTGGGAATATAAAAAGAGGAAAAAGATAGTCCCTGCCCTGAAGGAGTTCCCAATCTAATGTAGGAGACAACATGCAAACTGATATATACAAACAAATTACATACAGGATAAATAGGAAGTCATCAACAGAAGTAAGGCACTAGATTAAGAGGGTTTGGGGAAAACCTTCCTGTAAAAGGTAGGAATTTACTTGGGTCTTAAAGGAAGCCAAGAAAGTTAGTAAGAGAAACTGAGGAGGAAGAGTGTTCCAGGTATGTGGGATGGCCAGAGAAAACGTCCAGAGCTGAGAGGTGACTTGTCTTGCTCATGGAACAGTCAGGAGGCTGGGGTCACCAGATCCAAAAGTACATGTCAGGGAGTAAGGTGTAAGAAGACGGGAAAGGCAGGAGGGGACAGGTTATGTAGGGCTTCAAACACCAGAGCTTTTGTATTTGTTCCTGGAGGTGATAGGGAGCCGCTGGAGTTTGTTGAGTTGGGGGGGGCATGATATGGTCAGAACTTGGTTTTAGGAAAAATTATTTTTCCTAATGGAGGATGGATTAGAGTGGGGGGAGACCCCTCAGCAGTTATTTCAATAGTCCAGGAGTGAGGTAATGAAGGCCTGCACCAGAGTGCACCAGAGTGGGGACAGTGTCAGAAAAGAGAAGGAGATATATTTGAGAGATGTTGCAAAGGTGAAATTCATAGGCCTTGGCACCATACTGGATCTGGTGGGTGAGAGATAGTGAGTGGTCCAGGCTGACTGCTAGGTTGGGAAGGTAGGGGACTGGCAGGATGAAGCTGCCCTCTACAGTAAGGGCAGGAGGGTTTAGGGAGAAAATAATAAGTTCGGTTTTTGACACATTGAGTTTACAACGTTTACTGGACATCCAGTTCGAGATGTCTGAAAGACAGCTGGAGCACAGTACGGGTGCAGCACAATAGTATTCCACTGTAGTCATATACCAGACTTTTATTCATTCTCCAAATGATCGGCAACTCACCCACCAAACCCCTTGGTTTCCAGTTCTTCGCCACCTCAAAAAGAAGTACTATAAATATGTTTGAACACATATGTCATTGTCTTCTTTCTTCGATCTCTTTGTAATCTAGACTTAGTTGGGGCATAGTTACAAAGTGCTTCCCTCTATAGCCATACCAGTTCACAGCTCCAACAATAGTGTACCAATGGGCCTGAGGTGCATGGGGTGTTCAAGGAGGCCTAGCACCTCTGGTGTGAGAGCTAGCCAAGACCTTTTCAGGGCTGCTCATCCACCTTTGGTTTCTACCTGGCACTCAACTTTCACCTGTGGCTCCAAGAAGCGGTAGCATGTGCAATGCCCAACCCCACGTAAACTATTTTGGCAGACAGGCCAAACCAGGTTGAGGGTAATCAACGGGCCTCAGATCCATTGATGTTCTGGGGGTAGGGGACACTATCAACCCCCAGTATGTGAAGACTTTCCCCAGTGGAAGAGGCCATGAAGGAGGTTGCCGTGGAGTACCTAGAGCTCAGTCAAGACATTGAAAATAATAAGCTCATCCACTGCATTCTTGGCCATCACCAGCCATCTTGGCTTTTGTCCTGCCACCAGACTTCTATGACTCTGAAAGAGAGAGTGAGGCTGATGACATGGTGCCACTCTGCCTCACTTCAATCCATTTCACACACAAGTCAAGACATCACCTTCCAAATGGACTCGAGAAGGGCTCTAGCAGAAATCTCTATCATTTCCAAGGGAAACTTCACGAAATCTCCACAAACATCTTCTCTAGGCTTGAGCCCACTTTCCCCTGGACTCTCTCTGTACTTTGGGAGAGTGTACCGCTGGTTTGAGGGAGGGGGGGAGATGCTTGGATCTACTATTCTTATTCTCTGCATTTAGTAAATATTCCATTCTAAAAGTTAATTGTCTGGCTGACTAACTGATACCAACTGATAATTACCATACACCAGTGGAGACACATGAGCTATCATGTTGGGAAAACACTACCCCCAACACCTCAGTTACTCCTAGAACTCTAAGGGAGGAGAGGCCAACTGACCTCCAGGGACCTAAACTGCTAGTGCAAGGAGGCTTTGGGAGAGGGAGCCCAGAGGCTACTCTACAAATACTTCAAAGATCATGTGAAATGTATCACAAAAAATGGAGAAAGACACACCCTGAATTTCAAAAAAGGGATGGGAACAGAGTCTGCAAACTATAGGCCAGTGAAGTTTGATTCCTGGGAACATTTTAGAATGAACCACTAAAGAGGTGGTTGGTGAATATCCAGAAAGTGGGGCTGACCAAAAGGCAGCCTGTTTTTATCAGGAACAGAACTGGTTGGATGACTGGGCTCAAGGAATAGTCGTAAATGACTCAATGGCAATAAGGCAGGGATTTTCCAATGGAGTACCCCAAATAATCTGTGCTTGACCATGGCCTGTTTATTAATTTTAATTAATGATTTGGATAAAGGCCTAGATGGCAGACTCATCATTCACAGATTTCTGGGAGGGAAGTATCTCTTTTGTAAAAGTTAAATTGGGGCAGCTAGGTGGCGCAGTGGATAGAGCACTGGTCCTGAAGTCAGGAGGACCTGAGTTCAAATCCAGCCTCAGGCAACTTGACACTTACTAGCTGTGTGACCCTGGGCAAGTCACTTAACCCCATTGCCTAACCAAAAAACAAAAAAACAAAAACAAAAGTAAAAGTTAAATTGATATCAACTGGTTGATTGATATAAGGGGGCACACTAGATGAGGCCTTGAGAACGAAGCCCTAGAACTCTGAGGAGAAAAGCAGTCATTCTCCTCTGAGGATCCAGATTTAAAGGGTGAATGGGAGCTGGAAGAGTGAGTGCTAGTTAGGGTACTACATATGTGAATATTTTTTCTTCATTACAGAGGAAGGCACGTATGCAAGAGAAGTAGTTATGACAGGGGGAAAACTCATACATTAATAAAGTATTTGGTAGAAGTAGGTGTTCATCTCATGTTCTATGTGCTACAATAGCTTCCAACACTGCTTTCTGTCCTAAGGACTGTCAAGGCTCTGCCCTTTTTCCTGTGGTCCCTGAGATGTTCTCTGTTCCATGTCCAAATCTCCATTTCAATTCTGTCTTCCTAGGTTTGCTGTTTTAAGTTCCCTTCGAGACCTAACATTCCACATCCTGATGACCCTTCTGACTCTCTCTAAATTCTCAGATCAAAGGCCCCTTCCAAATCTGCCTAAGTCCTTCACATTAGCTTTCTTGGCTGCCACATCACACTGCTGACATATTGAATGTACCTAGTGATAATCAAAGATCAACTGAGCCCCAGTAAGGGCCAAAAACCTGAATTAATCTTTTCTCTGAGTGAACTAAAAATGCCCCTGTGTCAGCAATTACAGGACCAGATGAAGCTGACCAGCATTCTTTCTGTTTGTGATCACCAAGGACAGGACACCTGGGCCCAGACACTGTCTGGAAGAGGGGGACTTTTCTTACCTTGGTATCCTATGGACAAATGTTACATAGGGGAAACACAGATATCCTGAGACTATAATTCCAATGGACACTTTGACATTCTCCTATCTTATTGTATTTACAACCTATTCAATTATGAAAATTCCTTTTTCATGCTCTGGTTAAACATATGGAGATCATAAATCTGAATAACACAGACTTCCTGAGTTAGAGTTTAAATGTCCTTCTAAAATTCCTTGATTCAGTCAGAGTTAAAGCTCTGGCTTCATGTCGCTAAGTTAAGGGAATAAACAATATGAATTTACTTATCACCTAGCTTGTTGCCTCTTTAGCCAGCTTTCAGGTAGACAGTAATGGTGCCGTGACTTCGGATGGAAATGAAGGAGTAGGTGAAAACAACACCCCACCTGGGCAACGCTGGAGGCTCGGGCACCTAGGATCCGTTTTTTCCTGGAGCCCTAACTTTGATGGGGTCAGGTAAATTGTCCTATTCCCAGCTTCCGTGGACCTCCCACTAGTTTGACTGGAGTTCAAAAGAAAACTCCCTTTAAGCTAGCTCTGGGGTTGGGGATCAAGTTGAGGTTCAGAAACGCTGTCTACTGTTATCATTTAGGTCCCCTCAGGTAAGGATCTATCTAGGAAAAATTGGCTTTGGGTCAATCAGAAACTAAAACTAGAAATCGGGCTAACAAGACCACTACCTCTTATATGTCAAGCCATTACAATGTGGTGATCACAAATATTGCCAGCACTGATGTCATTTAACTAAAGACAGCCCCAAATTATGTTGGCCACGATCGGGTTCTTTTGATAGTCTCCTCAGGTACACCCAGATTTCTAGCCTGGAGACAAGGAGACTCAAATCTCTAAATATTTGAAAAGCTTTGGTGGGAAGGGAGAATCAGACTGCTTCTATTTAGGTCTAGAGGGTAGAAGTAGGATCAGTGAGTAGAAATTACAAGTGGGCAAATTTAGGTTTGATGTCAAGGAAAACTGATAACTCCTTCTTGATTCCTTCTCCTCTTCTGACAATCAAATTGGCAAAATGCAAATCAAAAATAAAAGGGCAGGGGACAGGGGTGCTAAACATCAGGGAAATAAAAGAGTTAAGACCAAAAAACCATAATATAACTTATTTTATTAAGTAGGTTTAAAAGGTAAAATGGATTTTTACTCCCTCTGGGTAACATGAACAATAAGTAATTATCAGAAGACAAATTAAAGTTATTACTTATAGGTGTGAATAGTTTAAATTCCACCATTAAATGAATAAGAGTGACAGACTGGACCCGAGCACCTTGCAGACTATCTGGCATATAGTAGGCTTTCTGTAAATGCTTGTTGATTTATTATATTCTTTCAGAAAATACATTTACTGCAAAGAGATGAAGCTAGACTAAATTGGACACAGCTAGCTTTTCTCTCTAGAATGAATCTTTTGATGTCGAGTTAGGTTTGTGCTACGTGTAAAGGTTTTCCCACATTCTTCACATTTGTAAGGCTTCTCTCCTGTATGAATCTTCTGATGTTTACTAAAGTTGGAATGGTGCCTGAAAGCTTTCCCACACTCACTACATGCGTAAGGTTTTTCTCCAGTATGAATCCTCTGATGTTCAACAAGTTCTGATCGATGACTAAAAGCTTTTCCACATTCTTGACATTTAAAAAGCTTCTCTCCACTATGAATTTTCTGATGTTTGATAAGGCTTGACCACTGTCTGAAGGCTTTCCCACATTCAGTACATTTGAAAGGCTTCTCTCCCGTATGAATCCTCTGATGCTGAACGAGGACAGAGGATTTACAGAAGGCTTTTCCACACATATCACATGTATAAGGTTTCTCTCCAGTGTGAATCCTCTGATGTACAATAAGGTAGGAGCTGCTGCTGAAGGCTTTCCCACACTCGGCACATTTGTAAGGCTTCTCCGCAGTGTATGTCCTCTGATGTACAATAAGTTCTGAATGGTGATTGAAGGTTTTCCCACATTCATTACATTTGTGAGGTTTCTCTCCAGTATGAATCCTATGATGTACAATGAGGTAGGAGCTGTTGCTAAAGGCCTTTCCACATTCGGTACATTTATAAGGCTTCTCTCTTGTATGAATCCTCTGATGCACAGTAAGGTAGGAGCTGTTACTGAAGGTTTTGCCACATACGTTACATTTATAAGGTTTCTCTCCTGTATGAATCCTCTGGTGTACAGTAAGTGCTGAGCGGTTATTAAAGGCCTTCTGACATTCAGTACATTTATAAGGCTTCTCTCCAGTATGGGTTCTTTGATGCACAATAAGGGCTGAACGGTTATTAAAGGCCTTCTCACATTCATTACATTTATGTTTCATTCTGGTGTGAATCTTATGATGTTTAGTCGTTTGCCTGAAGCGTCTCTCTTCTTTTCCCTGGGGCCTCACTGTCTGACTCCCACAGTCCTCAGCAATCCTCAAAATGGAGTGATGATCACCTATTCTAAGTCTTCCAACTGGCCCCTCTTTGGATGGTTCTTCTTCAGGAATGTTTGCCTTTGAAGTTTTCTCCTGGGCCTTGTTCCTAGTCTCCCAGCCTGAAAGAGAATAAAATTAAGTGTGAGGGTCCCCAGTGATCTGAACTGGGCAGCTTGGATGACGTCATGCAATTGTCACAGGTGCCCCACAGAGAAAACAATTCCCAAATACGTCCTTTACTCTCTGGGAGGAGAATGGGAAAGGGCAAGAAGGGAAAATGGAGGACACCCCAGAAGAGGCCAAAGGACTTAATCTGTGGGCAAGGTGAGCACAGAGGGAAGGGATTAGAAAAGCCACAGGGTAGGGCTAAGACCTGAAGCCAGATCACTTAAGGGTAGCCAATGAAATTCCAATCCACTACTATTTACTAAATAGGGCCTAAGTTCCAGTCAGTTTACCCCAATGCGCAGAGTCAGGATTGTCTTGGTTCCTGTCCCACCACTGCACGGCTAGCACATTTACTATGACTCTCCCCATTTTACAGTTGAGGGTATGAGGTACAGAGCGGTGTAGGCACTTGACCAAGGACACAAAACCAGGGTAAGGGCTGAGATTTGGTCCCATCATCCTTAGTCTACTTCTTCCATAGTGAATAGTCAGCTAGCACTGATTAAGCTCCCACTGTGTGGCAAGCCCTGTTTTAAGTACCAATGACAAAGACAAAAGACAGTCCCTGCCCTCAAGGAGCTTGCAGTCTGGTGGGGGAGACAACATGCAAACAAATAGGTAAAATCATGCTATGCACAAGATAAACTAGAGATAACCAATGGAGGAAAGGCATTCACATCAAGGTGGATCAGGAAAGACTCCTGGGGAAGGTGGGGTTTGAGTTGAGACTTAAAGCCAGGAAGATCAGTAGTCATGCAAAGGAAGGAGAGCCTTCCAGACCTGGGGGAAAATGCCCAGAGGCACAGCATGGAGGGTCCTGTTTGTAGAACAGCCAGCAGGCCAGTGTCATGGGGCGTGAGGAGTAAGAAGACTGGAAGGGCAGGAGGGGGCCGGTTATGAAGAACTTTGATGGTAAGCAGAGTATGTTGTATTTGCTCCTGGAAGTAAGAGTAGCCACTGGAGTTTACTGAGTAGGTAAGTGACATGACTGGACCTGAGGTTTAGGAAAATCACTTTGGTGGCTGAATGGAAGACGGGCCAGAGTCAGGAGGTGCTGAGGCAGGCAGACCCTCTCCCTTCCCCCTGCAGCAGCTATTGCAATAATCCAGGTATTAGGTGATGAGGGTCTACACCAGGGTAGGGGCAGTGTCAGAGGAAGGAAGGGGGCATATTTGAGAGATGCTGCAAAGGTTAAACTGACAGGCCTCAGCACCATACTGGATATGGGGGGGGGGGGGGGGGGGAGAGGTAGGAGGAGTCCAGGATAACAATGCAAACCTGGGGAAATGGTGGTGTTCTCAACATTGATTAGGGAAGGTAAGAAGGAAGGTTTGGGAAGAAAGATAATGAATTCCATTTTGGGCATTGTGAGTTTACGATGTCTCCCGGACATCCAGTTTGAGATGTTGGATAGGAAGTTGAAGATGTGAGACTAACAGTCAGCAGAAAGGTTAGGGCTGGATAAGTGGATATGAGAATCATTAGCACAGAGATGAAAATTGAATCCACAGGAGTTAATGAGATTGCCAAGTGCAGTATTATAGAGAGAAGAGGGCCCAAGATAGGAGCCAATGGGACACCTTTGTTTAGAGGGGATGATCTGGAGGCTCTCCCAGTGAAGGAGATGGAGAAGTGGGCTGAGGGGTGGGAGGAGAACCAGGAGAGAAGTGTCATGAAAACCCAGAGAGAAAAGAGGGTCAGAAGGAGACAATCCCAATGTCAAAAGTTGCAGAGAGGCTAAGGAGAATGAGGACTGAGAAAAGGCAGTACATTCGGTAACTAAGAAAGCATTGGTCATTCTGGAGAGAGCAGCTGCTCTGAATCATAAGATCAGAAGCCAGACTGCAAGGAGTTAAGGAAAGAGTCAGATGAGAAGTGGGGGCACCCATTGAAGATGGTCTTCTCAGGGGAGGAGCGATACGGGACAACAGTGGAAATAGAAGAACCAAGGGAGGGTTTTCTGAGGACGAGGGAGACAGCCTATTTGTAGGCAGTAGGGAGGAGCCAGCAGATAGGGAGAGATTAAAGATGAGAGACAAAGGAAGGGTGGCAGAGGGGGTGACCTGCCAGAGGGACCTGAAGGAATGGGAGCGCTTGAGTGAGTAGAGGGGTTCACTGGGGTAAGGAGTAAGACCACTTCATCATGGGAAACAAGAGTGAAGGAGAGAGGGGCAGAAGGCACCTAAGTGGAGGAGGAAGAAGGAAGGAGAGGGTCATAGTGAATGGCCTCCATTTTTTCTGCAAACTATGAGGCAAGGGGCTCAGCTGATTTGGGGAGGGGAGCCACGGGATATTTGAGGAGGGATGAGGTTTGGATCACTCCCTAGCATGAGAGAGATGTTAGGGAAGAGAGAGATATTGTAAGCCAGAGAGTAAATTCATGGAGGAAGGAAGAAGGGGCATGTCCTGAAGGCATGTAGACAGCATCTACCAGGTTTTTGATCAGGTGGCAGATGCTGATTGTTTAAACCTCAAAGGAGGAAAGGTTACTAAGTGTTGCTGGGAGGAGGGGAACCTTGAAGTGTGATGGCAATCGAGGAGTATTCCAATCCTCTCACCTCTACCGGGGAGTCTGAGTGAATGAGGAGAAATGCCACCGGTGCTGAAAAGGATGGCCTGTGTCGCTGGGGGGAGGCAGAAGACAGAAGGAGTGGTGAAGGAAAAGATTCGGGATGAAGGAAAGTTTGTTGTCTAAGCATTCCAGAGGGCACAGTGGAAACAATGGGGAGCTTTTGTTTGGGACTTTAGGAGTGGGGGATGAAGGGAATGGGAATAAGGAATTGGGCAGTGGGGGATGGGAAGTGAGGTCTCGAGAAAAACCAATGGGGGTTCAGAATCATTGAGATGGGAAGAGTATGACCATGGGGGAGTTTCATAAAGTGAAAATTTTGGAAAGATTTTCAACATAACAGACTAAACAAGGGGGAAACAGAAACAATCAAACTAAATAAATAACCCAGTATCCAATAAACTGGAAAACATAAATTACTTAGGAAAGATCTCCCTATTGCATAAAAACTTCTGGGAAAACTAGAAAGCAATGTCGCAGAAATTATATCTAGACAAACAACTTATACCATATTCCACAATACAATCCAAATGACCATAATATTAAAGATCATACAAGAAAAAAATCCTCAGAGAAACAAATCCCCTACTTCTCATTCACAGCAGCCAGATGCCTCTGGGACAGCCAATCCTCACTTGCTGACCCAGAGCCTCGAGTCACAGGCAGTAATCACTCCACTGGGACAAAATATGCAAACATCGCAGATAACACGCATCACTCTACTATCTTTCCTATTCTCTGTTAACAGTTGAGACTTCCAGCCTTTAAAAAAAAAATCTAAACGTGGGTATTTCATTCTCTACTCTGAGCACTAGGTGATACTGCAAAGACTCCAGGTGGTACCTAGACGCTCCTCTCTAATCACCTCCATCCATCAGAAACGTTTGCTTCTTCAGAAGTATAACCCAAGGGGCAGAGCCAAGATGGTGGAGAAAAGGCAGGGACCAGCCTGAGCTCTCCAAAAAACCTCCAAAGATCTTTGAATAATGCCTTAAAACACATTCATGGATGCACCCTCACAGCATACATTGGCATTCAACACACTATATCAAAGTAAGGAGAAGTGACAGACAGGATGTAAGAGTGACAAAGGTAATAGGTGTCGCACAGTGCTGGACTGACCGTAGACTTATCCTCTCCAAGCTAAATATTTGCATTCAACAAAAGTAGCATTCCCAAGGCAAGACAACTACCAGAAGACTTAATATCAAAAGATTAGATGCCTTCTCTGAGTGTGACAGTTTGTTGCTAACTTGGAGGGAAAGCTGAGCCAACATGCAGTTGGCAACGGTGGACAGAAAAGGAGTGGGCAGTTTTCAGAGATTTGGCATGTAGCACTGCATTTGCTCATCTGGGTCAGAACACTTGGAAACATCAAGATTGGTCTGAGGAAAATTATGGGGAAATTCAGAAGTTGCTAAATGAAAAACGAAACTCCACAGGGTTCACCAGCAGAATAGTTCATCTGTCTCTAAGAAAGCAGTGTTTAATTCCATCAAAAGTAAAGTATGAGGAATGCTTAGAGAGACGCAGGATTCTTGGCTCAGCAAGAAGTTAGATGAGATTCGGTTTTATGCTGATAGTAACAATCCAAAGCATTTTTATGATGCCTTAAGGGCTATTTATGGGCCAAAGAAATACACTGCATCTCAGCTACTCAGCGCTGATGGAGCCACATTGATTAGTGATGAGGACCTGACCCTAGAGAGATGGGCTGAACACTTCCATAATGTCCTCAACAGACCCTCATCCATCAGTGCTGAAGCCACTGACCTTTTACCTCAGGGTGAAGTCAGTCCCTCTCTAGTCAGATTTCTAACTGAAGAAAGGGTTTTAAATGCCCCTAGGCTACTTTAGTGTGGCAAAGCTCCTGGCACTGATTCTCTTCCAGCTGCGATTTACAAGGCAGGGGGTCCAGGGCTCATTCAAAAGCTGACTGAAATTTTCTAGGTTATTATATGGCAAGAGGAGGTTATCCCCCCAGGATTCAAGGATGCCTCCATTGTCCATCTCTGTAAAGGTCTGTGACAATCACAGGAGGGGTCTCTCTCTTAGTCATTGCTGTAAAGATTCTGGCCAGAGTCCCCCTTAATGGGCTGATCCTTCACCTGGAAGACGGTCATCTGAGAGCCAGTGTGGCTTCAGAAACGGCCCAGGAACGGGTGACATCATGCTTGCTGCCCAACAACTCCAGGAGAAATGCCAGCAGTAGAAGTGACGATCTGACCAAAGCCTTTGATACTATCAGTCGTGAGGGCTTACACAAAATTACGTCAGCATGTGGCTGCCCAGAGAAGTTCATCAGCGCCGGACATCAATTTCATGATGGCACGCTGGCTCAGGTTCCGGATAATGGACGGCGTTCTTGGGATTTCCCAGTCACCAATGGAGTGAAGGAAGGCTGTGTGCTTGCTCCCATGCTTTTAAGCAATGTTGTCAAATGCTTTCAACAAGGATGAAAATGGCATCGAGGTCAGCTGTCTCACTGCCAGTAAATGATTTAACTTGAAAAGGCTGCAAGCGTTCACAAAGAGGTCCAAAGAAACAATACGAGGACCCTCTCAAGGTCTCTCTGAAGAACTCTGGGATTGATCGGGTGACATGGGAGACACTGGCACAGGACCGCTCAGCATGGTACGCCCTCATCAGAGAAGGTGCTGTGCTCTAGGAGCAAAACAGAATTTTTGTTGTTGAGTCATTCTGGGCACGTCTGACTCTTTGTGACCCCATTTGGGGTTTTCTTGGCAAAGACACTGGAATGGTTTGCTTTTCCTTCTCCAGCTCATTTTATAGATGAGGAAACTGAGGGAAACAGGGTTAAGTGACTTGTCCAGGATCACACAGCTAGTAAGTATCTGAGGCCAGATTTGAACTTGGGTCTTTGTTATTCTAGGCCCGGAGCTCTATGCACTGCCCAACCTATCTGCCCTCAAAGCTGAATTGCAGTAGCTACAAAGAAATGTGAGGTCTGCCAATTTAAAGACATTTCCACTCTAAATGTTCACATGGACTATTTGTACCTGAGCTATAGTAGAGCTTTCCAAGCTCCTACTGGTCCAATCAACCACAAGGAGACACCCCATACCTTGACCCAGACACAGTGATGTCATTTTGGTCCTCTTCAAGCAGGAAGGCCAGCAACCAAACAACCACCATCAGAAGGCTCCTGTCCAGCACAAAGCCTCTGGTGCACCATGAGGGTTGGAAGCCCTTCCCACGTCCTTTACATTTGTAAGACTTCTTTCTCCCCAGTATCGGCTTCTGGTCTCCTCTCACTTGCTTTAACCGTCTCTCCTGGCTTCTTCCTTGCTGTTCTGGGTCTGGATCCCACATCCATCAGCTTCCCCCCAATCAGGTGGCACACATCACCCATCCTAAGTCTCTCTATCAGCCCCTGGGATGGTTCTTCTTTGGAGTTACCGCCTTGGTCTCGGTCTACGTCTCACAGTCTAAAAGAAAATGAAATGACGTAAACATTACTAATTCCCTGAGCCAGCTGTGGTGGGAATAAGGTAATGCCATCACCCAAAGTGGCACACCCACAAGAGAATGGGAACAGAGGAAGGAGGCTAACAGATTTGTGGGAGAGGGGCACACAAAAGGGTCAGAAAAACACACAGGAGGACTGGGCTGCAAGATGGAAAAAGACTGCATTAGGGAGAACCAGACAGAGTGAAAGGAGAAAGAAGAGAGCAGCAGAGACCCCCGTCATCTGGCACCTGTGCCAGGGTCATGGCGCACACAGGCCCAGGCCCAGGCCACCTCCTAGGCTGTCTCTGGGAGTGTAGGCCACTGCTCCCAGAGAAGGCTAATGCTACACAACTCTGGCTTGCCGATAGCATAGATCGTATTATCCCCTTTTTAGAAATGAAGACACAGAGGAACAGAGGGGAAGTGATTTGTGAAGGGTTGCTCAGTAACACCTTAAACTTCTATGGCCCTTAAAGGTTTACAAAGACCTTGGACAGTAACTGATAATGAGAGAGTGATCCCTAGAGCCCCACTTTACAGTCACGGAAGGAGAGGCTGAGAGGAAGCGTGACTTGTCCAAGGTCACACAGCTGGACATTGATCCCATGTCTTGCTGCCCTTTGGGTCCCCTCACTCCACCCAGCAGTGGAATGCACCTTCTGCCCTCGGAGAAAAGCCACGGCCTAGCTCTCGGTACCCCCGGAGCTGCCCAAGACCAGTCCTCTCTAGGACAAGGGCCACAAACGCCGACCCTTGCCAGAAGCTCAGGGTTGCCTTCACCACCGGTCACTTTCACTGTGTCTTCTGTCCAGGGACTATCAGGTACTGACCAACCTGGCCGCCTCTTGGCCCAGCCCCTTCTCCTGGCCTGAGCATCCGCCTCTGCAGTCAGCAGACCCCGCAGCAGGAGCCGCCCCTCTCCTCCTCCTTCCCAGGGCTCACACGACCATCAGCCCTTTGCTCCCAGATTACTGTGCCTGTGCTCTGTATTTCACTTTGTATGCACTGCTCCTTTCCAGCAGAATGGAAACTCCCTGAGGGCAGGGGTTCTTTTCTTTCTGCCTCTGTATTTCCAGCTCTGGCACAGTGCCTAGCATTTCACGGGTGCTTCACAAAGGCAGGTGGCCTCTGAAATCTCTCTCTGACCACAGTCTCAGTTTCCATCTTCCTCGGCCTCAGTCCCCTGCCCTTCACAACACAACCACCCCCGGCCCCCTAGACTATTGGTCGGGACATCTTCGTTTTTCACAGTCTGAGCATCAAACCCCATTCTGCAGGACCGTCACTCTTTGTGGGGCTGCTGAGGAAGACGCGGCCTTTCCATCCCTCAGCTGGTGACTCCCATCCCCTAAGGGAGTCTGCCCCCTTCTGTGACCCTCTTCCTCCTCAGCAGGGGATTTATCTGTATTCTGCTCCAGCTACGGCTGCCCTTGCCGGGGAAAGCCCAGTGACATATCCTCTGCCCTTCAGTACAGCCGACAAGTCAGGTGACTCAGCCAGGGTGCCACCTCGGCGTGTACAAGACCCAAGAGCGGAGCCGGGGGTGTTCTTGACGTCGAGGCCAGCACAGCCCCATCACACACCACCACCTCATCCTTGTGAATGTCTGTCAGACCATCAGTAGACAGGGACCACTTCAGACTGCCTGTGACAGGCCTGGCTCGGACCTCGCTGCTGCCACCGCTACCAAGTAGAAGAAACTGGCTCTGACTTCTGGCCACCACCGCGATCTGAGGAGGACACTGCCCCAGGCTGACGCTGGAAGGCCCAGCAGCTGCAGCACCAAGGCCAGGGAGGAAGGCCCCAGGCTGCCCCTTCGGACGCGTAACCCCTTCTCTTCCCCACCTGCTCTCTGTAAAATGCCACTTCTCCATGCTACTACCACAGGCCCACTGCGAGTCGATGCCCTGGGCGCATCTGCTCTCTGCACATAACAAAACTGCAGAGGACTGCCTCTGCGTCATTGATGGGGTCAATGACCAAATGACCACAGTCCCTAGGGTCCCACCCTTCTCTGCCAATACACATTCCTTTGATTTCTTTCTTACAGCTGCATGGAGGGAGTTCCTTGCTTTACTCCTGAATTCACAGGATGGCTTCTACTGTCTCCTTGCAAATGAGGCTGTCTTGGTGTGGGGTTCATTCCACAAGGACTTGGTGAATAGCTACTATGGGCCAAGCCCCGAGGACACAATAGGGAACATGAAGCAGTCACGGTCTCCAAGTCCACATTCTATTGTCGGGAGCAGTAAGCTCACGGAAGCAGGAACACAAAACCCCAAAACACAGGGAGAGGCCCCGGCAAGTGCAAGGGGGGCTATCAAGACAGGATTGTCGTGGAAAGGGGAACTTCAGCTGCATTCATCCGATTTTAACAGGGCTTTCTGTGCCCACACGTTCTATGGAATCTGGACTTTTCATGCAGAAATATTGTTTAAAGCGAACTTTCCAGTGCCAAGAGTAGCCTGCTGGAGACTTAAGTAACTCCGTTCTGGATTCTGGATTCACCATTCTTACTACGTATGACCCTGCCTGAGCACTGGACCGGCTGCCACGAGAAAACTTAACTGGAACAAATGAGGACATGCTGGCCCCAAGGGGGTCCACTGCCCCCTCATCCCTCGCTGGGGCCGGACGGTCCCTCTGACCCAGCACGACGAGCCAGACCAGTAAGGCTACGTTCCTCCCCTGTCTCCTCTCACTGGGGATGCACTGCCTCCTTCCAAGTCCTCGCCATCGTGTAAACAGTTGCCCAGCACTGAGCAGCTATTTCTTTCTCTGCCTCATGCAGTGAGGGAGTACTACAGCCAAACCGGGGGGGGGGCCGTGTGCATCCACTGCCCCTATTCGGTCCTGGCTTGTTGCCAGTGGCTGGTCAAGCAGACCAAAAGAAAGTTTGTGCAACAAGACAGACGGGTGTTGTCCCAAGTATCTGTTGGAAGGCCACAGGAATGCTGGCAAACTACCACACTGGGGATGGAGCTGTGTTCCAGCTATTCTAAGGAAAAATTGGGATTCTGAGAGAAAACAAGACAATTCTTCCCCTCTGACCCAACAATGCCCCTGCAGGGCATGTGCCCTTGAGAGGTCTAAGGCTAAGAGAGCCCTCATACGAGAACAGAGCGCTTCAAGGCCCGGGACCCAGAGCGGTGCCAGAACACAGCACCAGACCCTCGAGGAGGCAGTAAATGAATCAAGCGGGTGCCCGCTGAAGGAAGAACGGCCACACACGCTGGCCTGGGAATGCCGGGAAACAACCGTGCACAGTAAGAGGACAAAAATGGGAAATCCCGAGGAAACGAGCCACGCAACACACGGGGACACCAAGGAGAGGACGCGCACAGGCTTCGTAAGAAACAAGGCAGAGAAACTCCGGCAGACAACGAACGTGGATGGTGAAAGCATGCAGTGAGAGACAGGAAATGGATCTTTAATGAGATGGAGGCCTTCCCAGAATTCCTGATGAAAACACAGGATGGTGCCTGGTACACAGAAGGTGCTTAATAAATGTTTACTAACTAACTAAAAAGACAAGAGCTGTGTGGAGACACTGAAATGTAAACACAGGAGTTGGGAACTACAAAAAGGCAAAAGGAACATTCACATAAAAGCACCCATGGGTGTGTGCACATATACACATACACACATGCTCACACGCTAACACACAGATGCACATACACAGACGCAAAAGTGTCTGCATGCACACACACAACACAACAAGCCCACATACAAAGACACACGTCTGGGAAAACACACACATGTGCACACTCGAAAACCCACAAGCACCCACATGCAAGCAGCTTCATGCATGCACACTCAGATGCATACATACACTCTCATGCACAAACACACAAGAACATGCATGAACAGACACAACCATAAATCCACACGCACACACAAACATACACAAACACATTCATGCAGACACACACGTACACATGCTTGAACTCATAAATATGCACATACACACAATCCACTGTACAAATATGCATGCTTATACAAAACTTCATGCACGTGCACAAACATGGAAACATGCAAAAATGGGTGTGTGCACATACACACCAACACACAAATGCACAATGATGTGCACACACTCACATGCAGAGACACATGAAAAACATGGATGCACACATGTAGACACAGATATACACGCGCAAATACGAGCACACAAATGCAGACATACACAAACACACAAAAGCAGGCACACCAGAAACACTCACACACATACATGCACACAAAAGTATACATGCCACACACAGATAGGCGCAAAACAAATATGCACACATATATACACATATGTAGACACTCGAGGAAGTGCATAGACAAACATGCACACACAAAAGTGCACACAATAGACGTATATAGGGGCACAAACACATGCACACCCAGAAGTCCACATGGGTACACATGTGTGTACTTGTGTGAAAACATACATGCATACACAGGCACACACACATGCCTGCACCAAAAAATTACCCAAGCATACACACATGTACACAAACACAAAAGCAGGTGCACATACAAGCACATGCACATGCACAGTGGCATGTGTGTGCATGTATATGTGTACACATATACAAACACACATGCATGCTTGTATGCAAACATGCCTGCAAACATGTGCCTGCACAAAAATACACATGAAAACTCCTCTTCATGGACATGCACAGATACATACAAACATACTACCCAGGCTTGCATACATGCCTACACATGTGCACACACAGAAATGTCTACACGAACACAGGCAGAACCACGTGTGTGAGACACATATACACAAAACATCCATTTGCACACACATGCACACACACGCACATTAATATGTACATCCTGGTACATGTAGGCACACAACACATGCAGATATGCACTCTAATGTAAATACATGCAAACATGCACACATCAACATACACACCCATTGACACACACAAGCACACATGCACACACATATGCTTACATGCATACATACAGGTACACACAAATATGCCCACACATGCACAATTCACAGAAGCGCACACAGTCACATACAGTTACACAGAAGGCACCCATGCACACATATATACACACATACACATACTCATGCACTCGCTTATGTATACAAAACATACGCATACACTTACACTGAACACATGCACATATATGTAAATAAAGGTTACAGGAACACATGTATGCACAGAGCAGGCAAACACATATTTACAGTATATGCTAACACTTGCACACATACATATTTACATGTGTAGATTTGCTCACATACACACTTGCACCATGCAGACATATGTGAGCACACGCATACAAACACATGAGTACATGTGTACACATGGTCCCAGTCATCATGCACACATGTGCACACTCTTACACATGGGCATACACCCCCCCCATGAAGACTTGTGTGCATATATGCACACGCACAAATACTCAAACACACACATGCACACACATAAACGTGTGCACACCCACACTCATAGATGGCATCCTCAGAGGCCCAGACTTGAGAGTCAGAGGACCTGGGTTTGAATGCTGCCCTTTATTACCTATGCAGTCTTGGGCCAAACCCTTCTGGGCCTCGCTGTACACATCTGGGAAATCAGGTAGTAGGAGAGATGGATGCTCCCAATGAGGTGGATACCACTTCCAGTGTGAGCTTCCCGCCAGCTCCACTAAGGCCCCAGCAGCCCTTCCCACCCACTGGGGCCTCCACAAAGGTCCTTGGCCACATAAAGTGCAGAAGAAGCACCCCTCCTTATTGCCTGGGAGTCCTCACAAACCTTCCTTCCTCTGCTCCCTGGGTCCCTGAGGGCTCATCCTTTGCTCTGTCTGACTGGCTGCCTGCACTGCCTGTCCCCACTCCTCCTGGGCCCTCTTCCCAAGGGCCTCTGTCCCCTCTGTCACAGACTTCCTCTCTGCCCAAATCTGTGCTGCACCTCAATCAAAGTACCCTCCTCCACCATCCCAGCCTCTCAGACCCATTAGAGGCCTGGGCCTTTCTGGAGCTGACCCTCCAAGTCCAGCCTTTTGGCAGACACCGAGCTGTAGGCTGCCCCGGTGTCGTGTGAATGATCTCTGAGATGGAGCCCCTCGATACCCCTGCCCCTGCTGGGGGGGTGGGATCGTTGGGCCTTGGGGACACTCCTGCCCACCTCCAAAGACAAATCTGGAAGGGGCCCTGGAGGTCAGCTGGTACCAAGCCCTCATTCCAAGGAGAAAGAGCCTGGGTGAAAGGCACCAGGACCAGGTCACTTCCAGCTTCAAGATTCCTCTGCAGCTCCATTGTCCTCAGGATGAGGGACCATAACCACAGCCTGGGTTTGAAGGACCGCCCCCCCAAAAGTGAAGAACACACTTGAGTAGAGCTGGGTCTGCAGTCTGAGGACCCTGAGACACATGAGCTGAGTCTCAGGCCTCAGTTCCCTCCACCGTAAAATGAGGACGTCGGATGAGTCAATGTCCAGAGTCTTTGAGTTCTGAGTTAATATGTGTGTATGTGTGTGTATGTGTGTGTATGTGTAAACACCCCCGATCCACCTCTCAGACTCCATACATACACACATAAAACAACGACCCTAAATCTACACGTACGTACACCCACTCATTCCTGGGCCTCAGTTCCAAACTCAGCCCCCTAGGGAGCCCTGTTCCCCAACTGGGAAGCAAAGATGAGCAGATACTGAATTATGGGATGGGGACCAGGGGGAAGCCGCCTTACCCAGGGAGACCAGGTTCCGGTAGGTCTCCAACATCACGTCCCGGTACAGCTGCCTCTGAGAGGGGCCCAGCCGCCCCCACTCCTCAGGGGTGAAGTCCACGGCCACGTCCCTGAAGGTCACAGGCTCCTGAAACACAGAGCACACACCTGCCGAGGGAGTACAAGAGACAAAGCAGACATGCAGAGATTTTTTCTAGGTCTTTGGGCCACCATTTCTTCTTTCGTAAGATGTGATGACATACAAGGTCCCTGCCCAACTGGATATGCTTAGTGCTAAATTAAGGCTGGCACTAGCAATGGAGGGCTCTGGGAAAAGCCTCCTGAAAAAGGAGAGATCTAAGTTGAATCTTGAAAGCAGCAAGGAAATCCAATAGATGGAGGGGAAGAGACCAAGCATTCCAGAGAAAGGGGACAGCCAGGGCAAAGGTATGGAGGTGAGAGATAGTCATGTGAAGAACAGCAAGAAAGCGAGTGTCACTGGGTCTTGACATGCACAAAGGGAAGGAAAATGTATGAAGACTAGAAAGGTGGGAAGGAGCCAGGTTGAGAAGATCTTTATATTCTAAACAGGAGAGGAGGCCTCTAGGGCTCAATGAGCAAGAAGCAGACACAGTATGATCATTCACGGCTAGATGGAGGATGGAGAGGGAAGAGACCTGAGGCAGGGAGACCCCCCCACCCCCAGTAGCTCTTGCAACAAGCTAAGTGTGAGGTGATGAGAACCTGCAAGAGGGTGGAGGCAATGTCAGAGGACAGAAGAGGGAGTACTGCAGAGATACTGCAGAGTGACGTTAACAAGAGAAGTTGTAGAGGTGACACTGACAAGAGAAGCTGCAGAGGTGATATCAACAAGAGATAGTGCAGAGGTGAAATCAACAACAGATGCTGCAGAGGTGAAATCAACAAGAGATGCTACAGAGGTGAAATAGACAAGAGATGCTACAGAGGTGAAATAGACAAGGGATGCTACAGAGGTGAAATAGACAAGAGATGCTGCAGAGGTGAAATAGACAAGAGATGCTAGAAGTGACATCAATCAGAGATGCTGCAGAGGCAACATTGACATGAGAAGTGCAGAGGTGATATCGACAAGGGATGCTGCAGGCGTGAAATTGACAGGCCTTGGCACCACATTGGATATAGGGGGTAAGAAATAGTGAGGAGTCCAGGATAACTCCTAGATTGGGAGCCTAAAGGACCAAGAGGATGGTGTTTCCCTCAACAGTGACAGGCAAGGGAAAAAGGTTTAGGGGGGAAAGAAAATGAGTTCCGTTTTGGATGTGTGGAGTTTTAAGATGTATACTGGACCACTATTTGACAAAACCTGCAGGGAAAACTAGAAAACAGTATAGCAGAAACCCGTTATAGACCAACATCTCACACTGTATAGCAAGTCAAAATGATTTACACATAAAGGGTGATACCATAAGCAAATTAGGAGAGCATGGAATAGTTTACCTGTTAGATCTATGGATAAGGGAAGAATTTAGGACCAAACAAGATACAGAGAATATTACAAAATGTAAAATGGATTATTTTGATTACATACAATTTTTTTTTAAATTTGCACAAACAAAACCAACGAAACCAAAATTAGAAGGAAAGCAGAAAACTGGGGGAAATTTTTACAGCAAGTATCTCTGATAAAGGCCTCATTTCTCAAATATATAGAGAACGGAGTCAAATTTATAAGAAAACAAGTCATTCCCCAATTGATAAGTGGTCAAAGGATATGAACAGGCAGTTTTCAGACAAAGAAATCAAAACTATCTATAGTCATATGAAAAAATGGTCTAAATCGCTATTGATTAGAGAAACACAAATTAAGACAACTCTGAGGTACCACTTCGCACCTATCAGATGGGCTAATTTGACAAAAAAGGAAAATGACAGATGTCGGAAGGGATGTGGGAAAACTGGGACACTAATGCACTGCTGCTGGAGTTGTGAACTGATTCAACCATTCTGGAGAGCAATTTGGAACTATGCCCAAAGGACTATAAAACTGTGAATACCCTTTGATCCAGCAATACCACTGCTAGGTTAGTACACGACATTTGTCGATCTGACCAAGGCCTCTGATACTGTCAGTCTTGAGGGCTGGTGGAAAATTATATCAAAATTTTGCTGCCCAGAGAAGTTCATCAGTATCATACATCAGTTTCATGACAGCATGATTGCCCAGGGTCTAGATAATGGATGGTGCTCTCATGCTTTCCCAGTCACCAACAGAGTGAAACAAGGCCGTGGGCTTCCTCCCATGCTTTTTAGCATGATGTTTTCAGTCATGTTGTCAAATGCTTTCAATGAGGATGAACACGGTATCCAGGTCAGCTGATGGTAAATTCTTCAACTTGAAAAGGCTACAAGCCAACACTAAAGTGGAGGGAGTGTTAGTGAATAATTTCCTATTTGCAGATGACGGTGCACTCAATGCAGCTTCTAAAGCTTAGATGCAACAAAGTATGGATCAATTCTCTGCTGCTTGTGCTAATTTTGGCCTAACAATTACCACCAAGAAAACATAAGTGCTCCAACACCCAGCACCACACCATCCATAGGTGGAACCATCTGTTACAGCAAATGAGGAAGTTTTAAATATTGAAGATAAGTTCACTTACCTTGGCAGTCTACTTTCCAGGGATGTACACTTTGATAATGAGATTGATGCATGCATTGCCAGAGCTAGCTCAGTGTTTGGGAGACCCTGAAGGAAAGCGTGAGGGAGCACAGGTATTAGACTGACTACCAAACTGAAGATCTACAGAGCTGTTGTGCTGACCTCACTGTTGTATGCCTGTGAAACCTGGAGAGCCTACCAGCGCCGTGCCAGGACCCGGAATCGCTTCTGTTTGAATTGTCTTAGGAAGATTCTAAAGATCACCTTGCAGGATATGGTACTAGACACTGAGGTCCTTTCTCGAACTGCCAAGCATTCAGACTCCACCGCAGAGAGTGCCTCTACAATGGGCTGGCCAGATGGTTCGAATGCCAAATGTACATTCGCCTAAAAGGCTATTCATGGAAAACTCACACAGGACAAGTGCTCACATGGAAGTCAGAAGAAGTGATACAAGGACACTCACAAGGTCTCTCTGAAGACTTATGGAATCGATTGTGTGACATGGGAGACCCTGGCACAGGACCATTCAGCATGGAGTACCCACATCAAAGAAGGTGCTGTGCTCTCTAGGCAAAGCAGAATTGAAGTAGCTTAAAAGAAACACGAGAGGCACAAATTTAGAACCATCTCCAGCAGAGGACGCCACGAAAGGGGAGAAGGGATCAGAGGCATGAGAACAAGGGGCCAGCCCTGGCGGGGAGCTGGACAAGGCCCCTCCAGGGGAGAGCCTCTAAAGCCCCCAGAGGGGATGCCTGGAAAAGGGTGAAAGGCCGAAGGGGGAGGTGGGGCCCTCCTCAGCTGAGAGGCTCAGGACAGCCCGGGGCAGTGGAAAACCAAGGTGAGTTAGGGGTGGCCAGGAAGGCCCAGGGGAGGTCAGATAACACATGCTGTCAGAAGGCAGCACATGGCAGGAGGCTGGAGGCTAGAGGCTAGAGGCTAGAGGCCGAGGCCTGCCCAGGGATCTGAGAGTCGAGATCACACTCTGGCTACCCTGTGGCTGTGACTCTAATCCTTGCCCGGGACTCCCCTCATTGGACAGCACAGAGGGGCCAACGCAGCCCCAGCATGGACCAGTCTGCAGCCAAGAGCCAGGGCCGGGCCTTCAAAGCTATCCACAAACTGTGTCCAACTTTATCTCCCTCTGCTCCCAAACACTGAGCCCACAGCTCAGGCCCCTCCCAAAAGCACATAAATGCCCACCTCCAAGCTCTCGTTCACCCCATTCTCCCCACCAGCAGTGCCACCCCCGGGCCCCTACAAAACTACATCCCCAAAGTCTTCCTTGACAGCCCAGCTGCCCCCAAACCTGGCTGCCTGACCTACCTTTTCCCATCAAGGCTTGCTCCAAGGGCTCCAGCCAAGGCCCTGTCTCTCCAAGGGCCAGCCGTATGGCCCTCCCCAGGCACCTGGACAGCACTCCCTCCAGCCTCAGGCCTCAGGGAAGCAACGAAGGAGTGGGGACTGTGGGAAAAGGGCGGAGGGAAGAGCGGGGCCAGGGGGGTCTGGTCCTTGTGGGAAGGTCCCTGGCCTCAACGAGTGGCCATTCTGACAAGTGATAACCAGGGAGGGGGCCCTGGAATGGCGATGGAAACCACAGACATAAGGCTTGTTACCAGAGCCAGAAACCTACCTGGCAAGGGGCTGCTAGGAGTGCAGAGGGGGCTGCTCCGTCCTCCTCTTCATCCTCCCCCTCCTCCTCCTCCTGGGCACGTGCTGCACCCTCAGTGGGCAGAGCTGGGGGAGGACACAAGAGTCATGGGGGGTGGGGGGGCAGGCCTGTGCAGTGGTGACCACCCTGTCCTCTCCCTCCCCCTCTTCCTCTCCTCTTCTGTCTCCTTAGAGTCACAGGCCTCTGACATCGGGGAGGCCAAGGCCCTCCTCTTACAGCAGGAGAAACTGAGGCTCAGGCAAGGGAAAGGACGTGTCCAAGGTGGTAAAGTTGGGACTCGAACCCAGGGCCCCAACTCCAAATCCCCTTCTCACCTCCCTCCTCGAGCATCCGGGCCACCAAGGCTAAGCCGTCCTCAGTAGGGGCTCACTGGGGCCGGCCGATCTCCCCTGCAGTCTCAGGGTCTGAGTCCCCGGCCGGATCCTCTGGCCTCGGGGCCTCCTCGGGTGGGGGTCTGCACAGGAAGCCACCCTCTGGGGGCCGAGCCAGGAATCCTGGGACAGTCCCTTCAAGGGTGGTTGCTGTGGGCAGAAGGAGGAGGATGTCAGTAATCAATGAATCAACCCACCAACATGCCTTTATTAAGCACCTACTATGTGAGCTGAGCCTATGCGAAGTGCTTAGGTTACAGAGACAAAAACAATGCTGTCCCTGCCTCTGAGGTGTCAGGAGCCTGGAGAAGGGAGAAGATCCTTAAGTACCAAGGAGGGAGGGCTTAGAAAGAGCCTCCAGGGCTCAGAGAATGGAGTGGGCAGGGACAGCCTGTCAGGCCTCCCCTGTACAAAGCCTCGTGGCTTTGGTGGCTGAATGGAGGATAGACTAGAGAGGGGGAAACTGAGGCAGGCACCTCCACCCCCAGCAGCTACTCAAACAGTCCTGGCTGAAGCGATGAGGGTCTGCCCCAAGGGGCAGGGGCAGTGAAGGTGGGAGAAGGGATGGGGAGGGGGGGGGTCCTACCCCAGGGTGGCAGCAACAGAGGAGAGGACAGGGGCCAGGGGATGGGGGGAATGGTGGCCGGCAGAAAGGGGTAAGGGGAATCAGTGTCAGAGGAGAAGAAGGGGTGGTCGCAGAGGGAGAGGTCATGGAAAAAAACTGCAAAGACCTGGTGACCACTTGGCTGTGTGGTATGAGAGGGAGGGAGGAGTCAGGGACTAGAGACCAAGAGGAGCTGGTACCTTGGACAGAGACAGGGCAGGGCGCAGCCACGCTTAGAGATGCCTGCAGGGGCACAGCACGCTGGTGATGTGAGACTGCACCCCTCTAGAGAGAGGTAAGGGCTGGATTGGCAGATGGGAGAGTGCTCTGACCAGAGCAGACAGGGGCTCACATGGGGGAGTGAGAGAAGACAGAGAGGACGTAGAAGAAGCCTCCAGACTGGGAGCAGGAGATTCAGCAGAGCGCAGAGAGAAGGGAAAGCGCTAGGGGCCTCGACCACACACAGACCCCCAGACCCTACGTCATGGGGCTCCTACCCACTCCCAAGGTCTCCTATCCACTCCCGGGCTGTCTCCTGGTCTAGAAGAAGAGACTGAGGTTCAGAGAGGTTTGGAAGCCAAAGGAGAGGTTCACAATTCCAGGGTGGTGGGAGGAATAGTCACCGCCCCGGGGCCTCCGAGCCTCCCAAGAGCCCAGTGATGGGAGATTTTCCAGATGAGGAGACTGAGGCTCAGAGTGTCCCGGGCAGGAATGAAAGCCAGGCCTCTCCTGACTTTCAGGCTAGCTGATCATCCCATCCCATCCTAGGATTCGGATTCCATTAAGTGCACATTAAGCACCTGCTGTGTGCCTGGGCACTGGAAACCACAGGAGCTCCAACAGCAGGTGACATCACCATCCCCTCCTCTGCCTGTGTCTGGATCACCTAGCAACAGATGACGTAAGCGGGCCCCGCCCCTCTTCTGCCTGTGCCCAACGGCTCCAGCCGCAGATGACGTTACATACCCCAGCTTCTCCTCTGCCTAGGGCCCTAGCAACAGATGACATCACCTCCAGGCATTCGCCGCTCCCGCAACAAGTGACGTCACGTCCCCTCCCCAGGTGCCGGGACTCCTCCTCTTCCCATGCCCCGGGCGCCAAGCGCCCGCATAAAGAATCGAGGTTCAGAGACGCCGGGGTCCGCACGTACCGGCTCCGAAGGCGCTCCCCCGGGGGCGCGGGGAGCCAGGCACGCAAAGGCCGAGAAGGAACGGGCGTGCGCGAGCGGCAGCCAGGACGAGGCCAGCGCCAATGCGCGCGCATCCCCAGGCTCCAGGAGCACAGTGC